TTGTTTGGCCTCTCTGTGTTGTGCATTTACAGAAGATCTAGACAATGAATGCCGTGAACACTAGAAGTCAAACCGAGATTTAAAGTTGGACCTTCTGTTAATTTGGCCTCGGAAGAATAAAAGATTGTAGAAAAATCTCTTCAGCAGCACGGGTCGAATCCTGGACTTCCCTAAGCTAATTATTCAGGAAAGATGTATTTATTTTTTGAAACAATCTAAGGAAACTACTGCTAACCGGTGAGAGCTCTCGTTTTTCACGCCCGCCCGACCCCCTGCAATGAATGCAGAAAATACTGCAAACCCAAGACCAACCCCAGTGCTGGGAAGACATAAAATATACAGCAATTATTTATTTTCCCTTTTCAAATTCTATTTGCAAAGTTTCAACAAAGTCAAGTCTGATGAGACCCGTGGGTGCTCTTGCAACTTCCTTAGTCTTGGGAGATGAATATCAGACAGCACCTCCAGATCCCACCGGTTCACAAATCCCAGGGGTTCACGCATCCCACGTACGAAGGGATAAAAATGCTTTGCTACTACGGAATCCAGTGAGGGTTGACCCAAAGATTTTCAGGAAATGATAGGGCTGAGACTTCTCTTTCATTATTGAGCATTAGACATTGTCTGGTATTCTAAAAAGACCTACAGAGTTTCAGATAAAACACCTACAATATTGTGCGTCCCTTCCTGACAGACGGCTCTTCCTTCTCTCCTGGTTGCATAACACGCTCGGAGTGAACGGCTTCGGGAAAATAAAAAAATGTGATGGGAAGAGGTGTTTTGTGTTGTTTTCCTCCCTAGGTCTTTTATAGGCATCTGCTTGAACGTGGGCGTCTGTCCATCTGAGCACCGCTCAACGCTGATCACGCGGTCAACCAATGACCGTTTCCCGAGCCCCTGCCAGCTGGGGGACACAGGACAGCTCGTGGGAAATGAGAGGCACCTCGGCGTCCGCCGTGTGCGGCAGGAAGCCCCACAGCAAGAGGAGGGACATAAATCCCAGCAGCCTAGTTTAGGTCTCTGGATTCAAAACCTGTTGAGGACTCTCAATTCCAAGCTATAAATAACGTTTGCTGATGTCAAATTCTTCAACGATGGAAGATTTAGGGCGAACTCTGCGCCTACAGTCTAACTGCGCCTCCACCGGCATCTGTTTAAATCTCCCAGGAAAGCAACGCTTTGGGGGTAGGGGAGGGGTTCTGAGGTCAGTGGACCAAGTATGAACGGGGACTTAAAGTCACACGTAGGGTGACACATTCACACACCCAGCAACTTGGGAGCCCCCGGGAGGCTCCTGCAAGACCAGGCTCGGGGAGATCTCCGCAAACCACACCCGTTACTCATGCCGCAGAGAAGGGAAGAGCTACATGGGACCCTCCGGAGATGCACGAACCTTATCTGCGTTGGAAAGACCAGGACTTACTGACTTCACGGCAAATCATAAATAACTCAGGGAGCTGTCAGTACGGAGGTCCCCAAAAGCCGGAAGGCAGAGCTCCGATATTGTTGGAAGATGGAGTGTGTCCTCCTCCAAATTCCCTTTTCAAGGTTACATCCCATCCAACAATGTCCCTAGGTCCCCGGGCACCTGTGGGTGTTTGGTTCCAGCACACCTGGAGTAGGCTATGCTGGGTTTTGATTTTAACTGCCCCCGCCATGGTGTTGTTGGAGAAGACAACACGACACCCCCCGCCCCCCCCGTGTGGCTCTCACCCTCACGATGAAGTGGGCGGCGGGGATTTTGCATAGACATGAATAAACCATCACAGCGAATGCATCTTACACTCCCGCTGTCTGCGGGCAACTTGGGGAGGCTTTCCCCACCCGGCCACCCCTGACCGTCACAATTCTTCAGCGTTGGCACCACCCGGTTGTTACATTCTAGACAGGACACCGGAGCGCTGGGGCGGTGAGTCGCTTGCAAACGTCTGCACCACTGAACGCAAGGCGGAGCAGAGCGGGGACTGGAGCCAGACGGTCTAACTCCAGAGCCTGAGCAACTTGACGGACCACCGGCCACCGCGCACCCGTGCCGTGCCAGCCTGCCTTTCAAACGCAGCGCAGTTTTCAAGTCAGCCACGGCCGTAGGAGAAGCGCCTTACCGTTCTCTTTGAAGCAGAGCTTCTTCTTCTGGTAAGCGATGAAGCTGGAGATGGCTCCGGCCACGGCGACCACCACGGCCCCCACGATCCCAGGGATCACGCCAGGGGCGTCCGCTGCGGGGGGAAAGCACAGGACATCAACACTGAGATGAGAAGACCCCGTGCGTGGGGCAGGCGGCGGACAGAGACAGTCGGTTTGAGATCATCAAGGTCCCCCATTTTCCAAGGGGAGAACCCTGGGCATTGCACAATTCCAGTGAAAAGTAGCGGAAAGTCTCCCAGCATGTGCCGGGCTGCACGGACATGAGAGACAGCCAGCTAAGAGGAGAAACTTAGCAGAAGCAACACAGAAACAGAGAGAGAGAGAGAGAAAGACAGAGCTCGAAATCAAAAGGGAAGTATGAGGACTTGGCCCTGCACGAGCAGAGAGGAGGGTCACGGAGAGGTCCTGGCTGTGAGGCCACAGCCCACGTCCCACCCAGCAGAAGCAGCAGGAGGCCACCACCACCAGAGCTAGCTGCGGAGCTGCATGCGATTCCTCCCAGACACGGCTCAAGACCTCGTGCATGACCAGAAGGGCCAACCACGTGGCATCCCCAGAGCCAACCCCAAAAAGTCACACCCCGAAAGGAAACCAGTTTGGCGGGGTCCTTGTGTCCAAGCCATGCCCAGTGAACGTTCAGCCTTCCGACCTCACCCTCCCCGGATGGGATCGCTCTCCCGTGGACACCCGGGTTACCAGGGTGCAGGGAACGAGAATATCTCTATGGGGTGGAGGTGAAAAAAACCTCTCTCTCTCTCATATATCCCTGCTCGGATGACGCTGTCTGAAATATACATGAACTTGATTTTCTACATTCATCATGGAAGAAACGTCATCTACGTACAGACTCATAAAATCGAGGACGCAATTGCCAAAACTTAACCATCCCTTCCTGATAAAGTGACTTATTAAACATTAACTCTATCTGGGGAGTGCAAGAATCACAGCCCTAAATAAACGTGCCGGACACAGATTTTCTTACGGTATAGCCTTTCCAATGACCATGCCATCCTAGGCAAGGACAACACGAAAATTATTACCTCCTTCTGAGAAAACTTAAAAAGCCAAGAACTGCATCCGCAAAATAATAAACACATAAAATGTGGGGAGGCTGGTCACGTTTCTTTTTCCATGTACACATTTTAGGAAGCCACATTTTGCTACTCATTGAAACAGCAAATAGGTATTAAGATCTTTGGCCAAAGAAATATCACGTTTATGACTTTGACTCCAGCAGTACAAAAGCAATCCAGGCAACCAAAACATTTGGGCCCCCGTGATAATCTGAAAGAAAAATAAATAATAAAAGAAACTCGTTTGTTAAAGGAGCTGCTTAAGAAGCAGGGATTCTGCGAGAAGCAGAGTCCTTGCAAGTTTTAGGGACACGAGATACTAAAATATACAGCTACTATCCTTCCCCTTCTCTTCTCTCACTCCTTCTCTTCCTTCCTCTTTCTCTCTCTCATCTCCCTTTCTCTTTCTCTCTCCTCGTTTCTTTTCTTTTAATTTTTAAGGGAATTTTTAAAATCACTGTTTTCTTGTTCCTACGAAAAGGAAAGAAATGAGATGAATCGCTGGCACTTTGATGTCAAGAGCACACAGACTCTTCGAACCAAAGTGGGGTGTCCACATTGATACCTAAAACCATCACTGATCAATCATTATCGATCGATCAGTCATCGCCAGCCGGGGGCTTTGGGCAGGTGGCCAGCAAGACAGCAGAAACCAGATGGCACGTACCCTGTTCCTCCTCATTCCTGTGGCTTCCGCCACCGCTGTCTCCTGCAAGAGAAAAGCAAGACCGAGTGACAAGTTGCACTACAAAGATTTTCGGTAAAGGAAAAATTCACGGCAGGTTTCAACTCCCCGGCAGCCGGGCTTATGGAGGCACCTTCGCAGAACAGCCACCAAACCGAGAAGGTCATTTTGCTATGGAGGGCTCCTGTGCAATTGTCGAGCGGGGACCTCCCCCTCTGTGTGGGTCCCCTTCACGGGGAAACCAGGCTCAGCTCCCGGCTCGGACCACCCTCCTACAGTGGGCAGGAAACCCAGGGAGTCTGTCCCCTCCGGCAAGACATGGGTGAAATCCCAGCCGGGACCCTGGAGCCCCCCAAAGACGCCACTGATAGCTACAGAGGGATCTCAAACATGTCCTGTGCTCTCCTGTCGGTGATCACGGCTGGTTGTATCCTTTCCTCAGACTTTCCCCAAGGCTAAGAGAGGCAGGGACAAAACCACCTTTGTCTTTTTCAGAATTTCACACTGAAAACCAGTATTTATAGATATTCATACATGGTGTAAAGCCAACGCTTGTATAATTATAAAACGATTTCTGCACACCCAGGTCCGGTCATGAGTAAGGTGCAAACATGTCAGAGAACCTTTGATTTGTCTCCTTAACACCGCCAGTCAGCGTCTGCGGGTCATTACGCTATGTGCACCCAGGCACCACAGGCCATGCAGCTACAGAGCTGGGGTGCTGCCTGTTACACTATATGGGGTGCATGTTACACAGCTATGGAGCTGGGAGCTGCGTGTTACACTATATGGGGTGCATGTTACACAGCTACAGAGCTGGGGTGCTGCCTGTTACACTATATGGGGTGCATGTTACACAGCTATGGAGCTGGGGAGCTGCCTGTTACACTATATGGGGTGCATGTTACACAGCTATAGAGCTGGGGAGCTGCCTGTTACACTATATGGGGGTGCATGTTACACAGATATAGAGCTGGGGAGCTGCCTGTTACACTATATGGGGTGCATATTACACAGCTATAGAGCTGGGGAGCTGCCTGTTACACTATATGGGGGTGCATGTTACACAGCTACAGAGCTGGGGAGCTGCCTGTTACACTATATGGGCTATAGAGGAATAGAATTGAACCGTATAGTGAACATTTATCTATATACAATATAAGTAACTACTATGTATGATATAGTGTCAATATGGGTCCGTATTTTTATGTATATATATTTTTTTATTTTATATACTGGTTTGGGCTGTACTCTGATCTAAAATTATATAGAGGGGATAGAAATTCCAGTTTTCAATTGTCATGCTGCCAGCTAGGGTCCTTTGGTCAAGTCATACCACTTCATTCTCAGGGCTTCGATACCTACATGCATGAAATAATATAAAATAAACCTCATAATACACAGGAGAAAAAATGGTAGTGGGTGGGTGAGGAGATAGCTGAGAAATGCCTCCTCCTTGGCCCTGACCCCTCAGGGAAGCAGGGCAGATGCCCAGGCCCTGACCTTGGCTCACAGCGATGGAATCTCTATGGGGCAAGCTTCACTTTTCACATCAGCAAAACCACAAAGCTCCCAAGGAGATTCCCAGACATCTCTCCATGACTTCACAGAGCCCCCGTGCTTGTGCAGAGCAGGTGTACGTCACGAAACGGAGGCAGAACAGAAACAGAAGACGGGATACCTGTGCCGTCTCCACCTGAAGTTCCATGAGCAAGATCATCATCTGAAAAGCCACCTATGGAAAGAAAAACACAGCATCACCTGTCATATCGGAACTTTCTGGCAGGCCCTCGTTGTCTTAGAGTGAAAAACGAAAGAAAATAAGAAACAACATTAGCTTCCAAAGCAGATCTAAAAGGATCCAACAAGGGAACCACTTTATGGAAGGAATCTTTAAAAAATACAATTACAATTCATTGCCATTCTGTTTCAAATCTCTTAAAATTAGTTTTACCAAAAAAAGTACTATTAATACTAAACCTGACAAAGATGACCCTAAAAGAACCAGAAATTTCACACCAATCCTTCCTTCTGGTAAATGTAATACAACAATGCTAAATAAAATACTACCTGGTGCAGAGTCGCTGCACCAACAAGCCTAATTTCCACATGCCCATTGTGGGTGGAGTGTTCTGACCACCCCTGGACTATGGGCCCAGCCGGGTGACTCAGTTTGGCTGCTGGGATATGAGGAAATGTGATACAAATGATATTTCAACACAGCCTCCGCTGGGAGAACATGCATCATTAAGCCAGTAGACAGACGTAACAGACACTTGCGGAAGACCCCGGTCATCCCAGCGAAGACCACCCCTCGCAACCCAACCCTGGGAGACCGACCAGCTGACCACTGACACACGAAAGATCTCATTTCATCTGAGCCACCCTAGACTCATTAAAAATAATTTTTTAAAAAAGCATGAAGCCACTGGGTTTGGAGCTGTGTGTTCCGCAGCAGTAGCTAACTGATACGTATCGATTTTAATCCATCAGTTTATGAAAACCTACTATGACTAGGTAGAGTTTACTCCATGAATGCAAGGCTATATTTTATATAAAGGTATCTTTCAATGTAATTTGTCACATGCATAGGTTAAAAGAAAAGAACCGGCTGTACAGATGACTACATGAGCCTGATGAAACTTAATATTTATTCCTGTTTAGGAAAAGAAAGTAAACTAGAATAGTGAGATGCTTCCTGAAATAATAGCTACCTTTAAAAAAAGGCAATGTCTTATTTAAAGGTGAATCTTTTTGGGCTTTTGCCTTAAAGTCAGGATTGAAAAATGTCTGTTCTCTTC